GCTGAGCGCGCAAGCGGCAGTGGGGCCCGGAGGGCGCGCCCGGCCCGAGGTGCGCTCGATGGTGGATGTGCTAGCGGACCATGCGGGAGAGCTCGTGCGGACCGACAGTCCCAACTTCCTCTGCTCGGTGCTGCCCTCGCACTGGCGCTGCAACAAGACGCTGCCTGTCGCCTTCAAGGTGAGTGCGGGACCCGGGGCGGGAGGACACGGCGTCCCAGCTGCAAGATCCAGGCCCCCGCGAGAAACTGGGGAAGGGACGTGGCCAGACCCTGCGGCGAGACCCCAGCAATTGGGCGCTTTCAGCTTTGCTGCATGTTGGGCCCAGGGACCTCGGCGTTCAGTCGTGGATGTGCCCCGCAAGATGACTTTTAGGGGGCTTACCCCCCCCTCCACCTGGGCTTTAGAGAACCCTCCATAGGTACGCTGATGTAGGGAAACAGGTTAATAGGGTTTCGCTTCCCTATAACCCGTATCCCTTGGACACAGCCCTGCGGGCAGCCTAGCCAAGAACAGGACCCCCTGGACCAGGGCGAGGACACCAGCAGTGGGGGTCAGAGAGGGAATAGGGCCCATCCTGCCCCGCCGGCATCACTCCTCCTGCGCAGCTCAGAAGCACTTCCTGCTCACACTCTCCACCTCGGGCTTCTGAAATTTTACACGGGGCGACTCTAGGCCGAGACCCAGAAGCACTGCGCCCTAAGTGTGTGCACCGGGATGCCATCCCGGATGGTAGGCTCAGACTGGGGTGCCTCCACCCCTGTCAGCCCCCAGTCATTAAAAGGATCTTTTTCTCTTTGTCAGGGAGTAGGCGACTGTTTCATTTTCATTTTTTTAAGGGGGCAGCAAGATGAAACGAAAACGCCTTGGTTTTCCCCTAAACCTCTCACAGCTGCGGTGAGAAAGGGCAGAGCAGGAAGGGCCGGCGGCGGAAGGGGGGTGGTGCCCGAGGTGGCTGGAAACGTCGGCCACTGGCAGCTGAGCCGTCCTTGCTCCCATTAAGACGACTGCAAATTGGAAAAAAGCAGGAGTGGCTCTTTGAGGTCTCCCGGGTGACATCTTAAAATACCAGTGGGGAAAATCTCCCGGGGAGGGGGGGAGGCCCGTGTGACTTTAATCGTCAGATCGGAGGTTTTACTGTCACTTGGAGCTTAAAAGGAGTCTTTGAAATTAAAAGAAGACAGGATGTTGACAGGAAATCTGGCCTTTTTAATCAGACCCCAAACATTTTCTCCTTGAAATTTTTACCATCTGGATCCCTAGTCCCTGCACGCGGTGGCCACGTTTAAATGGCTGTTGCTCTGTTTAGAATCAGATTCTTTTTCAAAAGGCATCTTCTGTGCTCTTGGGGGTAGGAGGAGGGAGTGGGGAGACCCCTACCCTCATCCTGCAATTCCCAGCAGGTGCATCTTCCTGTTACCCAAGCTCCCCCTCATTTTAAGGGGGTTTTAAAACCCTGAACGACCCTTCCCCAAACCAGTTTGTTTTGTATTTTGCATTTTGTCTGCATAACGAATTCAGACTCTGCAGAGGCCAATAAACTGGGCCTGGGCCACATTTTGGGGCAAAATTTCATACCCCAAACGACTGTTGGATAAATTGAGTGAGGGTACCAGCCCTCTTGTTATTGTTGATATGCTTTTGTAATTGGAAAGTAGGTTGCTAGGAGCATGTTGATTCGTCTTGTACTCAAGCCCTCAAGCCGAAGACAACAGGGAACTGCATCCCACATCACAGTGACTGAGCTAATCCTTGGCTCTCTTAGATTCAATTTAATTGAAAGGATAATTTCTTGGGGGGCTGCTTAACTAATTGACCTAGGATTTTTGGCATGGAAAGTGGAGATTTCATCTGTTTGTTTTTGTTATATTTGGGGGAAGGTCTTTATTGTTTTCAAGTCTCTTCTCCATTCCTCATTTGAGAAATCCGCAGTGCAGTGCGCCTGAGATCTAGGGGAGCTCCCAGCCCAGCCCCTCCCCTCTTCCTGCTTCTCTGTCTTTCTAAGCTATCCCTCAGCACCGCCTTTGTCCTCAGGTGGTGGCACTGGGGGATGTGCCAGATGGAACAGTGGTGACGGTGATGGCAGGCAATGACGAGAACTACTCTGCTGAACTTCGCAATGCCTCTGCCGTCATGAAGAACCAGGTGGCCAGATTCAATGACCTTCGCTTCGTGGGCCGCAGTGGAAGAGGTGAGCTGGGGGGAGACACTGGCAGTGGCAAAGGTGGAGGAAAGGAAGCTGAGAGAGAGGCCTTGGGGTCCCAGTGGAAGCTCCGGAAACAGGTCTCCCAGCCCAGCTCTGTCTAAAATAGCCGTTTGTAGTCCCTTCGGGTGTTACAGATCTCTGAGGATGTGGGGAAAGTTAGTCTCTTGCCAGGAAAAGCCACGATTTTCTCCCGGTTTCTAGGATTTGCTAACTCCTGAAACCTTTCATGCCACTCCTCTTGCCCAATTAAACACCCCAGCCTCACAAAAGATGCTGGAGGAAGAACGTAGATTAACAAGCTCAAAAAGGGAGCTTGTAGGTCTTTCAGCAAGAAGCTTAGAGGCCAAGTCTGCAGGGCTCGAGCATATAAGCCACTCTCCCCATGGGGGCAGAATCTCCCCCACACTCTGAGACCACCTCTCCCGAGCTGTGGTTTCCCAAAGGCACAGTTTCACAAGCCCTTTGAGCTCTAGGTAGCTTAGAATAGAACTAATGCAATGCAGAATGCTGAATGCTGGCAAAAACACCCTGACGGCTGCCATCTCCCATCCTACCTTACGGCTGGTGTGCCACTCTGCCTGCCTGATTGACCCATACAGTAGAAGCAGGACCAGGGGCTGTTGGGTGGGAGGCTGTGAGGACCTGAAACCTGTCATCACTTAACTCCTGGGTGGTGAAGTCCTACCAACCCTGCTCCAGCAAAATGGGGGTTTAAAGGTCCACTGGCCCTTTAAGACCAGCCTGCAGAGAAGTGGCATGGGGAGCTGCCCTTCCCAAGCAGGCCAGCCTCCAGCTTTGTTAAGAAAGTAAGCCCAGCTCCCTCAGCTCCCCAACTCCACACAGATTGAAGCGGCTGAAGCAGAATTGTACTTTTCATCACCAATAAACAAGCCATTCTCAAGGTTTTAGTTCCCTCTGAGCTGCCAGCCATGCTCCAAACCGGGCATCTGGGCACCATTTTTTCCTCTCCAGCCATTCGGTGTATACATACAAATGTCAAACATATTTTGACTTTTCAGCATTAATTAAAACCAGGGCATTATTTGCATGTAATAACTGTTTACTTGTTACTTTTTATGAAACTGAAATAGTTTACATTCTTTCAAACATTTCCTGTTCCTGTTGGCTCCCTTCCCCACGCACAGATTTCTTTCAAACGGTGCCCTTAACTGGTTGCAGGTTGATGGATGGAAAATGTTTGCTTTTATGAATTAAGCTTTCATTGCTGCTCCTAATTAGTCTCCAAGCCCCTTTGTCATCCCCAATCTCTCAAGCCCTTTGCAACTTAATCTCAGTCCCAGCCATGAGTGGAGAGTCACTTGTCCCTGGTTGAGCTGGTAGCCCTACTGACTGTGGGGCTGGGCGTGGCTAGGTCTGGCAGCCCAGGTGTGGGGGATACTACACTATAGTTGCTGCACCTCATGAGGCAGGCAGAAAGTGATGTTGGTCCGGGAGCCCAGCAATGAATCAGGAACTTGGGTTTCCCCCCCACTCTTTTCACCTTGGAGGGGAGATGCAGAAAGAGAAGAGACAATGATTCTCTGAGTTACGGAGACCTCATCTGCCCATTCTGCACCTTAAAAATGATTTTTGTGTGTGTGTGGCTTTCCTGCCCACAGACCTGGGCTCCCACCCACAAGGCCTACAAGGAGGGAGATGGCATTCCAGTGTATGGCTTAGCAGTCTGCCCTTACAGCTGGCAAAGCTAAGCCTGGTGCGGTAGGTCTTCCAGATACAGAAGACTCTATGTACAAACCATTCTCATGTCTGTCCTCTCATCATTCTCAGTGATCCTGGGAGGGAGCGAGCAATCTAAATACAAGTTCTGGTGTCCACAGAACTCTGGATGAAGTATTCAGCGCTCTGAGGCTCACCACCTTTAAGACCCTGGGCTCTAGAATCAACCAACCTGGTTTATGTCCCAGCTCCGCTAGTGACTTGCAGGATGACATTGGTCAAAATGGCTTAACCTCTGTGTGCCTCAGTTTCCTCATCTGTAAAATGGGGCTAAGAATGGTATCTACCTCATGAGATTTTGAAGGGATTAAGGAAATTGCTCCAAGTATATCAATTGGCTCATATTGAGAACTGAATACATATTAGAGATTTTGTTACTTCAAAGCTTGGGACTAGAGGAGGTCTTTGAGGTCCCTTTGAGCGGTGACAGTCACTGATTCTCTGATTACCATGCGGTTTGGGCGGGGGTGGGGGAAACCCAGAAGGTGTAAGCTGCTGAGTGGGAGAGGTGGAGGCGGCTGGCAGGGAGGAAGGAGGCTGCCAGGGTCTGGTGGCATGCAGACACACCTGTGCTGTGCCCATCCTGCTGACAGGGAAATTCCCAGCTGAAAGGACGAGTCAGATTGACACCAACAATCTGGGCCACTTTAGGAATCAGGACAGATCGGGACTAAGAACCCAGAACCCTTCCCTGGCTCTCTCACTTCTCCCAGGGCTAAGAAGTCAGATGGAAACTTCTGCTTTTTCCGCAATTTGTGGCTCTTGATTTTGTTGGAATTCCAGGAAGATGGCTTTCCATGGAAGACACACAGTAGCTCCACAGGCTGGAGTTGTGACCCGAGACAAGGAAGGAAGGGAAAGAAAACCAGGACACTGCTGTCTCCCGCAATGATCAGGGCCCAGATTCCCTTCCTGCCAGACACAACACCCCTTTCTTATAATAACTGGGTTTTTTGTAATAAGCCTTTTACTGTCCTACATGGAAATTTATAGGTAACATGATTACCTGCTTACACAGTTTCAAAAGCTATGTAATTTCATAGCTGTGACAGAAGAAAAGGAAAAATAATACAAATATGAACATACACGTGGGGGGACGAGACTTCATGGCCAGGTGGACTGATGCCCCCTGCACCACTGTGGGGGTACTTAGACTCTGAATGCAGCCTTGCCTTCAGTGCCACGATCTTCTGAAGTTATGGGCAACTCTTAGCAAAGTTCTAAACAAAATTTAAAAAAAAAGACTTGTCTTTCCTCTTGGAAAAATTCAGTAGATGTTAAGTGTGCAGAAAAAATATCCTTGTTTTATGTCAACCTGAGTTAGGTTCCTGGCTTAGACTCTTTATGAGCAAGTGTTTGCCTTCTATGAGCAAGTGTTTGCCTTCCAGAAGGAACCAATTCCTCACTGCCCTGTGCAGTGCTGGACACTTGTGGCCCTCTCTGCAAACACAGTTCCCACCTTTGATGCCAGCAGTGCCTGCCTGGTGCTATTGACCACACGCCACCACAACCCCCCAAAATGCCCTCCAGCAGGTGGCCACCAGCCTGGGCGAAGATGACAAGCCCATGAGCTCCTGACCACTACCAATGGATTAAACCAGAACCATAGTTCGTGGAGAAAGATTGGGGGGTGAGGTGTGTGGGTACAGGATTGGGGAGACTGCTGGTAAGGGAAGAGGTGGATGGCTTCTTGGCACCAAGAGATTCCCTGAGACCAGACACAGCCCCTCCCTTGCCCAGGCAGCTCCCATGGGTGGGGCTCACCACACAGGAACCCTGGCAAAAGGCTGGGGGTGGGGATGCCAGGCCTACAGTGCTGGGCCTGGCTGAGCTTGATGGGTCCAGGGCGCTGGGTACTGTAGGGGTAGCTATTTCCCAGACTTGGACTCCTCCTCCCACAATCTAGGCGCCCTTGGGGTGCCTGGATTTGCAATTCCTGGACTCCTGACCCATTGCAAGTTTGCTGGTTTCTGGAAGGAGCCATCCACCTTCCATGTCTTCTCAGCTCTCTACTCCCAGAGCCTGAGGGAGATGGATAGATGGGTTTGTTGCCTCCAGGCAAAGAGAGAGCTGGGCAGGGCACTCAGGAGGACAGCTTCCTCCCACCTATGGTCCCAGGGACCCTGCCTTCTGGTCTCTTTGACACCTGCCCCTCCCATCCATTCCTCCTCTTAGCCCTATCCCCCTACTCCTGACTCTGATTTCTCTCCCCTCTGAGGGTACCTGGGAGGGATGGTGACAGGTCTGAAAACTGGGAGGAAGCAGGTGAGGAGTACTGGTGACCTCAGCAGTGGCATATGGTTTACTACTGGTAGGAGTGGGGGCTTCTCACTCCCCAGGAGCAGGTCCTTAGTACCCATGTGGTGGGGCAGACTCTAAACCTTCCTGAGCCCTCCTGCAAACAGTGTGATCTGCTTAGCTCACTGCCCCTCCATGAGCCTCAGTTTTCTTTTTTTTGCAGTTTTTGGCTGGAGCTGGGTTTGAACCCGCCACCTCTCGTATATGGGGCTGGCACCCCACTCCTTTGAGCCACAGGCACCGCCCCAAGCCTCAGTTTTCTATAAAATGGGAGCAGCAATCTCTGCTCTTAATTCATTTAATGAATGTTTATTAGGCACCTGTTATGTGCCAGATGCTGTCCTAGGGGCTGGGGACACAGCAGTGAACAAGACAAAAATTGTGGCCCCAGAAAGCTTAGGATCTAGTAGAGGGAGGCAAAATAAAATAAGTAGGGGGATTATCAAAAGCAATTGGTATTACAGGGAAATGCAAGCAGGCAGAAGGCTGGAGATGGGAGGGGAGGGCCTGTGCTGCTTCAGACTGAGCAGCCTAACCTTTTCTTGCCTTGTGGGCTCCTTGGACAGCCTGGTGAAGCCCACACCTTTCTCAGAATAATGTGGGGGTTTTTTTTTCTTTATAGTTTAAAATAAAATACAAAGGATTACTTTGAAAACCAACTCTATTAAAACAGAAATGTTAGCACAGTGTTTTTAAAAGTGTGGCAAATGGGCTGCCTGTTCCATGTATTAAATGACAAGATCTAGCAATAGGACGAGTGACGACCATGAAATATATTTAGAGAAATCTGCGACAACTGTAATGCGATATGTAAACATCTGTGACGTCTGCTGGCGA